AAATACATGTTTACAATATATAATATACCATTTGTATTTTTCCTTTGTGTTACGTTTTATAATACAATTAAAATTTAAAGATCTCTTTCAAATACTGTAAAACATAGTATAAAGGAATGGAAATTTCAAAAGTGTGTTAAGCAAACATTATAAAGCAAATAGAGTCTGAATGATATTTTTTTTTAAATGTTGATGTCGAGTAAATATGTTGCGTAGAAGTGCGCGATAAGAAAACGTTTACTTGTAAATTATGGTAACTTAACATTTTAGTATTTGCTGTAAAAGTTTATTTAAATAATTTTTCTGTTTTTACTTTAATTTTTGTTATAATTAAAAAATATATAAAAAAGTTTCATGACATTGTATGTGTAATATCGCAGATAACACAGAAAGTTTAAAAAAATTCAATTGTATGTCATCAATTTTGAGTTCATTTCTTAGAATTTTATTTTCTGAATTTTTCATAAAAAGAATTCTCTTCGTATATAAAAACGAACTTAGAATTAATGACCGAATTCTGTTTGAATTCTTTTAGAACTTTTTGTGATATCTGGAATGTGTATGCATATGTATCCAGTATACTAATTCATAATATTATCTGTTTATTTTGTTATCCCTAAATATCATTAAAAATAAAGCTACAATGATTATTTACGGTTAAGTGGAAAATTAATTATACATTTGATTCGTAATTACTTATATTGAGACAGAGCATTCACGTTAAATTGGCGATGAGACTTAAGAACTGTTATTATTTAATGTTATCGTTTCAGAATACAAGTTCTAGGTATTTAAAACATTTTCTATGTAAGTATGCCTAAACGTATTTAGATAATGTGAAACTGATTTTTGGAATTTCTAATTTTGTTCCATCGCGAAATTAATATCAGTACAATCAATATTGAAAGAGAAAAAAAATTCTTTTTAAAAAGTTATTATTTAATAGTTTAAAGTTATTAATAATTATATTCGTTTAACGATAAAGTCTGTAATTACTTAATTTTCTGAAGGAGCTCTTGTAATAAGAATAATTGATTCTATATTAAATAATTGCATCTAATAAGTCATAAACAATCGTTTTTTATTTTGCATTGTCATTATAATAATAGTTTTCCAATTCAATTTTTCAATACATTTATGTAAATGTGATATCAATTAAAGACGAATTTATTCGTTGGTATTATTCAATTATTAAATCATTGATATAACTGCATTATATAATCATACAATTAATAGTTAGCACTTTAATATAATTTACCATTCTTTCCAATAAATTCTTTTACATTCAACTACTTTACCTGCACATTGCATGTGCAGGACAAATGCCTAGAGTTTTAAGGTCAGATTAATAAATGACACATCTCTCGTGACTGATGTTGCCTATGGAGGGTCGTACGTCAGTTCGAACGTGTATCACGGAAATCCTGTCTATGTATCGAACTCGTGTCATATTCTATATAAAATTAGAGATAGTAGCAAATGATGTACTTACAATATCTAATAACATTCATCTACATAAATTCCTACCTTCTTCATAATAAAAAGTGCTTTTTGCATTGAGCTAAATAAATATGTATTATTAAAATGTCGCGAATCTGCGTTGATATTTTCACAATGATATAATTAAATTTTCTGATTAAAAATTATGTATAAAGTTTACATCAAATAAAAAACGTATACATAAAATGTCACGTGTTTTACAGTGATGTTCGTGATTATCTATATATAATCTTTTTTTTACTTTGATAAAAACGCAATTGATCTTGTTTCATCTTAGTTGCAATACTATATGAAATACTATATGTGTTTCAAGTAGATAACATCATGTAAATGATATACAATAATTTGTCATTATGTCAAATAATTACAGTGTTAAGTGATATTCTGAAAGAGTAAATCGATATATAGTACATTCTTAAACAATTTTTTGAAAAGCACGAAGACATTATTAAAATATTTGCATAAAAAGAACGTACATCGCTGTTTCTAAATAATATAAAATTGTACACAAAATATTTTAATTAATAAATATTTCAATTTAAAAGAATTAATACTGGAAAAATATTGGAAATTTATTCGAACGAGTATATAATAGAATCCCGATAAAAAATTCTTCATGCATGAATTATGTATGAATATGAATAAAGATATCTACATAAATAATCATATATGAAATATGTCTATTCATGTTCATATATCCCTCTCTCTCTCTCTCTCTCTCTCTCTCTCTCTCTCTCTCTCTCTCTCTCTTTCTCTCTTTCTTTTATAAAATTATTTTTTAGTGTAATAGAAATAACAATATTAATGTGGAAATATAAAAAATAATTAAAGACATAAATTTTGCATTGTTCATTTTAGAAAAAAACAAGTTTGAAAAAATATTAAAAAATTATTGATATACAATTATGCATAATTTTATAATATATATAATTATACATAAGTATTTTTTTTACATTTCTTCAAACTTAATTTTTTCTAAAATAAATTATGTAAAAATTCCCTTTTTAATTATTTTTAATGTTTTCACATTACTATTATTATTTTTATTACACTAAAAAATAATTTTACATAAGAAAGAGAGAGAGAGAGAGAGAGAGAAGAATGTATAAATATGTATGGACATATTTTACATAAAATTATGTATATTTATACATATTTATACGTGTATTTATACATACAATATTTATACATATTCATGTATGATAATTTTTTATCAGAATTGTATTGCAAAAGTAATAAAATTAATTTAAATTGATATTAGATTTCAACATCTCGCGGCTAAGTTGTAAGCGTTCATAGGCAAATTATTTAATTTCGCGTAAAGGATTAAGTTTACTATTCAGGGCAAATAAATGTTAACGCATATGAAAGATACTGCAGCGCGAGGCACTATTTAGCTGCATTGCCCCGGCTCGTTATAGTCAATGAATGCGTCGAGTGCGTTCACGAACGATAAGTTGTCCCAATTTCTGAGTTCATTGCGCGCGGATGGATACGTCGGATCTTGTTTCTATATATGGTCATGTAAAATATTCATCTCGATAAACTCCCAAATCTTATGACCTTGATCTTATTCCTACTATTCTTCTTCTTATCTCTATCTAATTCTTATTTACATCTTTAGGAATACAGTCTCGTATTATCATACATTTCTTATTATACATATTTTTTGACACATAGTTTTTACATTCAAAATTGAACATCTCCAATCACATTATATATCGTCAATAATTGCTGTGGTTAAAATAATCGAAAACAATTTTCACAGAATGTCATATAATTTGTATTATTTATCTTTGAAATATTTTATTTTTCATTAAATATTTATGACTGATAACGTACATACATATTTATAAAAATGAAATTTTTTTTAAGAAAAAATTATGAATGTCTATAGAACAAAAATAATTGTCATAATTTAATTTATAGTCATTTTCAGTGTTAGTTTTAATTCTTAGGATCGGAAAAAAAAGAATGAATCTATAATAATGTAATTTATAATAATTTTATCTCTATCAGAATTATCTCTTTCTATTGTTTATTTCTATTAATCAGGAATCGCGATAACAAAAACTATGCAATATCAACTTTAATTGCTTATGTCCATTTTCAATATATTAAAGATATTAGCTTTAATCTTGGTTTAACTTGTTTTTTTATCTTTTTCTAATTCTAAGAAAAAGATACAGAGTAAGTTAGACCGAGATTAAAATTAATCTATATTAATAGAAATGAACATAAAAGATTAAAGATAATCTGTATTAATAAAAATGAATCATAGAAGAAGATAATTTTAATGAAAACGCTACCAACATTCAAGAAGCTACAATTTCGTCGCATTTGTAGTATATTCAAGTATAATTCAATAAATTTTAACTTCGATCACCTTTGGTTTTAATTAAGTGCTGTGAAAACATGCACGCTCGCTAGATACGTTCCCGATAGTTTTAATAAAAATATACTGTATAAAAACTCTTGAACCGCATTTAATTATTTTATCATGCAATTATGCAAATAACTAAACACTACTAAACACTTCTCTTTCAGTGTATAAAACCCACTTTAGGCGTTCTATAACTCAGAATGAGAATTCTGTTTATATCTATGCTAAAGTTCACCTTAAATGAGTTACATATAATATGTGTCACATTTCAAAGTAGAAAAGCGTTTTCATTTATTTATACTATGTATTTTGATATACATATTTATTCACATTGGACATTTTGATGTACATATACACACTATTAAATCTATAGTGTCAAATTTAATCCGATGTAAGTCGCCACTGCTCCTACTAAATATTTCGTTATTTTATACTAAAACAATAATTAAATGTGATACTATATTATGCCTATTTAACTCACATTAGGTTAATTAAATTTGATACTACGGATTTGACAGTGCATATATGTAAAAACACGTGTCGCTACATTGATCTCTATAAGGTGCTTGAAAAATATTTAAATAATAAGGAAGCGATGCCCTCACATACGTACGTGACGATGCTGATGTGATTTTTAAATATTTTACACAACTCATCACAACTCCGATCTCGTTTAATGAAAAGAAAATTTTCAGGAAAAATAAGCGCGACAGTAAATCTATTAAGTTGGAACAAAATATTCATTCATTTATATTCTATATTCTGAAACAATTTATATTCAATGTAACTACATTTTTTATACAGTGTTGATCTATTTTTTATACATTTTGCCACTTTGCATTTGACCGTTTGACGATTCCGTTCGTTTTATATTATTTGACTAAAAATTTTATTTTATTCACAATTTGTCAACGATCCTAATTTATTACTGTGATGCATGTTATCGTAATGAGTCGATGCCGTTTGACTTTGTCAGTTTTTTTATAAATCTACTTTGTAATTATTACAAAAAATATGTATATAACTTATTATAGCTAGTGACACACGAAGTTATTCCATCCAGCCATGTAACTTGAGAATCATGCTAGTGTTTCATTTCTCTTCTGACGATAGCGAGCAGTATACAATTTGGTAAAATTAATGTGATTTTCTGTTATCTTTTATACCGTTATGTTTAATTTTATCATGTGACGTATTATGTACTGTTGCGGATATTTTGATTTTGATCTTCGTCTTTTTTTGTGATTATTATATTTTTTGCTGAGGAGAGCTTGAATTTAGAGCCGAAACGTTCATGATATTATATTTATTAATTTATACATAATCGACTGTTGATTTGCGCATCATTTTCTGCGCTGACTTCTATCTTAAATATCATTACTTATTGTTTTTTTAAAATTTTTCACTTTCTAACGTGAAAGCTTAAAGCAAAATCGTTTTTTTTTTTTAAATATTCCTAAGATTTTTTGTTAGTGATTTTTTGTTATCCGTATTAAATAAAAAGAGCATTTTGATTTTGATTGCTCCTTTAAAAATCATCGATCAATTACAGAAAAAGATTCTTAAAGTTGAACTTTGCTCTATTGAATAATTAATTGGTATAATTGACAAATTTTATTTTAAAAATATGTAGATGATGCAAATAGATACATTGAATGATTACAATTAAAGTAACGAACTTTTGTTCTAATCTAATACATAAACTGATTCTCAGAATATTTCACATCCTGAAATTATGCATTATCTAACATGGAAAATGATAGATTATTTAACACTGAATGCGTAGTTTGTGCATTGCCTAATGTTGAAAACGTTGAAAGTTTAGAGTTTGGTTCGTGATCAATCGATCGATCGATCTTTCACTATCTCTTTTTCTGTTGATCGTGATTTTCGCCACTCGGATTGTTTATTTTAAAATGAGATGAAAATCACAAAAATGAAGCAAATCTATTAAAGGATCAATGAATATTAGGTTTTATATTAGATTTGTTCGCGTTGCTTGCACTTTTTGCACTCAACATTTTTGCTTTCTTTCTGTTCACGCCCGAATATATATTTATCTCATTTTAAACAACATTTTTTGAGGATTTCAAATAAACAGATCTATGATATAACTGATAAGTATTCTAGTGAATTGACTCATTTTTGTAATATTTATCTTATTTCAAAATACCCATTACATAATATATCATCGATCTTCGCTAGATGTGATCAAACAATAAATTATCATTGATTCCATGACGTAATAAGTTTGTTCGCGTTGTTTGAAATGCCCACAAGTTTTTTACTTAAAACGAGTTGAATATACATATATTCGGGTATTGAAAAGAGAGAAAGCGAAGATGATGAGTACAAAAAGTGCACACAATGCGAACAGACCTACTATAAAACACGTGTAATATTCCCGTAGAAGCGCAGTAAGAGAGCGAATTTGAATCCAAATTCAATTAACTACAATATGCTATCGCTATTATGTGCAATATTACGCTTGTTTTTTTTTATGTATATCAGATATGTTGACTCACTTTATTTTTTACTCACCTTAACAACTTCGCAGAAATAATAGATACAAAATCCGATGCCTAGCAATGCGCCGTAGTAGAGTTTCGGGATGTCCGCTATGCTCTCAAAGAGACTCAGCATCGTTACGTGTTATCGGGCGATGCCGATACAGTCAACCGGCTCAGAATCGCGACGGCGAGGTTCCGTCGTCCAGGTCGAGGCGACCGTGGACCTTGTTCGCTGACGATCGGCGATTAACGACGAGCGACGTTCGCGAACGAGAACTGGTGAATAAGGAGTCCTCGACTGTCGCGCGCATGTCGTACGAATAATTGGACGCGACTAATCGGACGAACCATGGCCAATAGAGTGGTAGCGAATAGCCTACGAATACCGCGACATATCCTAACATATTCAAAGGCTTTCGAGAAAGAGATTGTACGCGAGAACGCGGGCTCGATCTAGCGCGCATGCGCGTTATTATTGTTGATCTTGACGCGACTCTTAATCTCCAGTTAATTCTTAAATGGTTTTAACTGAATAGTTTTGGCTGAAAAAGATGTGAGCTATTTATCCTATGAATAATATTTTTCTATAATTAAAATATATGACTAAGCAAATGTGATTTACGTCAAATTTTTGTCACGTTTAACACATCGTTCCTTTAGTTCAAAACACAATTAAAAAAACGGGTTTTCGTTATTATCATGAATAAATTAGATATAGATTATATATATAAGATATCTCTAACTCTATAATTAATTCGTTAGTAATCAAAGGTGAATAATTAGCTTAGTTATGCTCGTTTCTATGTAAATTCTAATGTAAATTAATTTTAATCTTGATTTAATTTCCCGAGAAAAAAGATTTTATATATAGTTATATAAAAAATTAACATATTTTATATACTATAATTATATATAAAATATATAATTATATTAGGTGTTGGAATTAATT